GGATACCCATCTGGAAGGCCAGACGACGCCCAGTCTGGAGGATACTCATCGGACCGGCCCGACGATGCATTTTCTGGATGATATCCCTCTGGAAGACCCGACCAAGCGCAGCCTGGGGGGTACCTATCCGGAGAGACTGGTTATGATCAATCCGGTGGCTATCCCGCTGGTGGACCGGGGGATGAAGATACTCGAGGTGTCGGTATTGAACAAATGGGAGGGTCTTTATCTGGTGGTCCCGACTACAGCCAATCGGGTGGTTATTCTGGAACTGGCGATGGACAACCTATGGGTTATTATTCAGGCAGACCGGATGACGTCCAGTTTGAAGGCGCTGGGGGGCAGAATGGGGGTTACCCTCCAAGCAGATCTGGGGGGGCTGATAGTGGGACATCTAGCGGAGCAGGATATCCGTCTGGAAGGCGCAATGGTGGGCAGCAGTCTGGGGGGCATTCACCTGGCAGGCCCGGTGGTGGAGGATCTGGAGGGTACTCGCCCAGAGGCTTCGCTGGACCTGGTTCCAATTCGGTGGTGTCTGTCGGCTACTCGTCCGTGAGGGGTGCTGGACCAGTACCGCCCGGCAGCTTTGGCGACACCACTGGAAACAGTATTTATGCAGACGGCGGAGGTTATGCTTGAAATCCTGCTTTCTTATTTACAATAATGTTTTTTTCGAAAAAATATAATAAAAAGTCTTACACAACATGGAATTTTTCTCGCATTCTCCCCAACTCCAAACAAGGCCAAGATCACGGCCTGTGTGTTTTTTTTAAAGCAATGGCATCAAGGAAGCTGTCATTTCACAACAACCAGTGCTGCCCTGGTGCTGCTGACAAAAGCCGCAAGAAGCATAAGACCCGTTACCTGGACATGACGTACAACATCCCAAAACTGTATTCTTGGAGCCTGGAACACACGACATGCAGATGAGTAACGACTTAAAGTTCTCGGCCCGCAGCTGTCGCGCGTCACCACACCACACCGTGCTCACGCGCGACTCACATCTCCACGACGCGGTGCGCCTCCGCGCCGTAGAGGCGGTGGACGTCCTCGCGCTGCTCGAGGCGCAGGGCCCCGCGGCCCTTGGCGCCCCACACCGCGGCCACCACGACGTGCGCGAGCAGGCACTGGCCGGCCAGGGCCAGCAGGCGGCGCGCGCACGCCTCGCCCTGCCTGGCCGCGAGCTGCGCGAGCTTCGCCTGCCGCAGCGGGCCCCGCCGGCGGGACAGCGCGGCCGCGAGACGCAGCAGCAGCGCGCCCTGCGCCTGCGTGTGTGCGCAGCCCCGGCGGGCCTCGACCACCTCGCTGACATGGGAGGTCGCGGTAAGAGGGAAAGGGGATTTAAATTTTAAAAAACATAAGAACCTCATTTTTTTCCGAAAAGCTTCAGTTTTAACATAATTTCTGGAAATATTTCAATTTTTTGCATTGTTTGTCGTTTCATTTTTTTTTCCGGAAAAGTGTCTGACTTTAAAATCCCCTGTCGAGCCGAGACCCACCTGGCCATGCCCACGGCCTCAGCCACTGCCTTGACTTTGTCGAGGTCGTCGAGCGCGTCCGGCCCCCGCCGCGCCCTGGCCGCCTCCCACAGCATGCAGGCCACGAGGTAGAGCCGCGAGCCCGCCCGCGGCGCCGCCCCCACCGCGGGCCCCAGGAGCGCGCGGTCGCGGCGGTGGAGGCCGAGGCTGAGCTGCCAGGCGGGCTCGTCCAGGTCCAGGGCCACGGCATTCTCCGCGCAGTCCTGGGCGGCCTGCCACCCTGAAACGGCCCGGCGGTAGGCGGTTGGTCATTCCCCCGCGCCAGCCCGCCGAGGCCCTCCCCTCCTCCAGCTTCTGGAGGCGCTACCTAGGCTCCCGTACAGCCGCAGTGCCGACGCCCGCAGGCCCCAGATGGCAGCCCTCTGCCGACGGTCGAGCAGAGCAAGGTCGGCGTCGTCGGCGTCCTGGCCGCGCGCGCAGCGCAGCACGTAACGGAGGGCGGGCTTGACTCTGTCCACCAGGTCGCTGCTGCCGCCGACGGCCTGCCGCAGGACCTCCACGGCTTGCTGCAGCTCCGCGTTCGCCTTCGCGGCCTCCCCGGCGCGCGCCAGCTCGTAGTGCAGAAGCAGCCTGAGGGGCCCCCTAGAGACCCTCTTAGCGCCTCCTGGTGGAGACCCCCTGGTAGACGCCCCGAGGCTCACCGGAGCACGAAGGTGGTCCACGCGCCGTCCGAGAGGTGCAGCAGGTCGCGGAAGCGGTCCACGTGATCCCCGGCCGGGACGTGAGGGTCAGAGGGAAGGCCCCAGGAGGCGGGGCACTGGCACGGCTCCATGACGTCCGCCCCGTCCACGACGTCCACGACATGGCACTCCATGGTGGCGCCACGCGTCTTGTCGCGATGTGGCCCAATGAGAGCGACAGCTAACTACAAATACCGCAAATAATACCCACAACGGCGACAACGAGCTCGTCCGGACGACGGGCGGCCGCCCCCAGGACCACCACCATTTGCTCACAAAAACGCAGCATCAGAAAGGTAGGGAAACATCAGCCTCCACAAGGCGCGTTATTTGATAATCAATCATCGTTGGTGTTCAGAGTTTAACAAAGCCATTTATACTTTTATTAGAATAACCGTAGTGATTTTGAACCATTTTGAACGCGAAAAGGGTTGAGAAAATGAGAAACACAACACTCGAAGTGTTCGAGTTCGAGCATTAGAGTATGAGAATTTTATTTGTTGCAGTTTGTTTAGGTTTTGGTTTGCATCACTTTGCCAGCAGAAGAGAAATAGGGCTAGTTATCGTTGGTCTTTGGAACGCTTTGGAGTCAACTATTAATGTTCGAATTGCCCTTGAAGACAGACATCATTGTTTTAAAGAAGTAACTTGAACAGAGTAAGAGCACCCAACCGATTGACATTACTTTGAAACCATATTATAACCTATGCTGAACTGCTGAATCAATGACTGTTACATAATAATTTACTTATCCTTTGAACATTTTAGTACACTATAGTAATTTTCATAAAGTTGAACCATTTTTTTTTTTCAAACTAGAAATGAACTCTTAAGTGCAAGCTTTTTTGATATCTAAACATCTACAATGAAATTAACTTATCAAGTGTTCAGTACCCTGGTACCTACATATTTTTTTTCTTGCACTCCTGTTTTTGCAGATTCTACCAGGATGCTGAGTCTCATTGCCAGAAACACTTGCCAGCTAGCAAGAAGTAGCTATTTTAAAAATGTTAGTAGCCCAACTATAATACTGATAGATTATTGCATCATGCTACCAAATGGAATGTTTTATTTGATATAAAATCTTTCTCATTTTTAGACTTCTCATTTCAACTACCAAACTCCAGTATTTTCAGTTCTAAGAAGTCCAATTAGAAATTTCTCCCATAAACAACTAGTAGCTCATGTTAAAAAGGTTCGTAATGTATGCGTTAAGTACTGATAGTTAGAAGAAATCTGGCACCAAATCTGTGTACATAAAGAAACTAAAAATGTGCTCTCTGATTTTAATTATTTGCTGCTTTTCAGTTTACACACCCTATTCGACAGAACAGCTCTGCTTCAGTACAAGTGAATGCCATCCCACAAAATGCTGATAAAGCAGTTGGACTCTGGCTCCTTGGTTGTAGTGGGATGGTTTTTGTTGCCGTTATATTAGGTATGTTTGGACCTTTCTTCTTTTTATCTTTTTATCTTTCGAACGTGTCTTTCATTTCTTTAAACCTTTAAGGTGGAGTCACAAGATTAACAGAATCGGGATTGTCCATGGTTACATGGCGTCTTCTTGGAGAGAAGATGCCATGGACTGATGAGGAGTGGAATGTTGAATTCGCTAAGTATCAACAATATCCGGAATTCATGTTGTACGTGTATTTTATGATGAGTAGATGTTTTGTGTGGGGCAGCTAGACATAGGTAAATATGGTAATTGATTTTCCCCTTCTCTTTTGACAGTAAAAATCAAGAAATGACAGTATCAGAGTTTAAAAGGATATGGTGGATGGAATTTGCCCACAGACAATGGGGCAGACTTATTGGCACAGCATTCGCCATTCCAGCTCTAGCTTTTTGGGCTAAAGGTTATTTGAATTCTGCCACAAAGAGACGTGTTCTGGCATTTGGTACCTTAATTGGTTGTCAGGTAACCCTCACGCTTATTTATCTTTGTGAACTAATTTCTTGAGCGAGTGAATATACCCTCTCATCATTGTCTGTTTACAGGGTCTGATGGGATGGTACATGGTCAAGTCTGGACTAAAGAATAATTTCGATGATCCCAATGATGTGCCGAGGGTCTCACAGTACCGCCTGGCCTCCCACTTGGGCCTGGCCTTTGGCCTGTACACACTGCTCCTTTGGTCAGCCCTTGACAAGCTCCTTCCCGCTCAGCCCTTCCCTGCTGCTGCGTTGAGTGACGTCAGTGCTGTGAAGCGAGCTCGACTAATTCGCCGTTTGGCTTTCACTTCGAAAGCTCTGGTGTTCATCACGGCACTATCAGGTTGTCGTACTCTCTTGTTTTGACAACAGTTAATCTGGTGCACCTACTCATAACTTGATATGTAACACTGTGTTTTAGGAGCTTTTGTTGCTGGCTTGGATGCAGGGCTGGTCTATAACACCTACCCTATGATGGCTGACAAATGGATTCCGTGTGACTTGCTTGCCTTCTCGCCAACTCTGAGAAACTTTTTTGAAAACCCTACAACTGTACAGTTTGATCATCGAAAATTGGTAAATATGCCTGGTTTTAATTTGTGTGATCTTATTTAAAATCAAAACTGTTTATAGTTTTCAATACTTTGACCGTAGGGAGAGACAACTTTTGCCGTCATAACATCTCTATTTCTACTGTCGAGAAAAGCAAAACTACCGCCAAGGGCGCATACTGCCCTCAAAGCATTGGCAGCCATGGCGTGGGTTCAGGTATGCTATAATGCCCGAACCTCTTCTCCTGGGTAAAATGTTTCATAATTCAACACTACCTCTTTTTCAGGTCGGTCTTGGTATAACAACTCTATTGACTTACGTACCAGTGCCACTGGCAGCATCACATCAGTCGGGTTCACTAGTATTGCTTTCATTCGCTATCTGGTTAACTCATGAGTTAAAGCTATTAAAGTATCTACCTAAGTAAGATAAAATGTTAGTGATATAATGAAGTGATCTCAAGATAATACGGCATTTAGCATTGTACATAAAGTGGGAGTATTCTACAAATTCTCGTCCCACTTCACAAATGTATTGGATGAATAAAAACTGCATGGAGAGCCATGAAATTTGTTTATCAGTCTGCACAATACAATCACACAGTTAAAAAATACCACTCTTGACATTTTTATCACCACACCATAGTTTTTTTAAATTTATATTCATGCATAACTTAAAACAAGGTAAGTAAGTGAAGTATTGGTCCAAATGGACATTATATTTTTTCATGTTT